TTTTTTTTCCTTCCGAGAGAAAAAAGAACGAAAAAACAAAAACGAAAGAAGGAAAAATCATCCCAAAGTTATAATAACACGGTTAAGGTTGACCGTGTATAACACTTCTGTTTCAAGGAGCAACATAATCTATTATGCCATCAAATTTAATGATCGCGCTTGTATCTTTATGGTATCATAATTGTTTGTCAATAGCCATCAAGCGAGTGTGTGCTCCGTCGAACGAGCCGCTCGATGATTACAATTCGTTGTTAATTAACATTCGTGGACGAGATTGCCCTCTATTACGTTTTCTTCGCCTCCCCTCTCCACCCCCCCCAGGCTTTGCCTCCAGTTATATACCCCTCCCTCCCTCCCTCTCTCCACCCCCCCCGGTATCTTCGTCGGTATTTCTACCTCTCTCGCACCCTCGACTTCTTTTTTCGCCATTGCTGAACCCTCTACGGGGTTCACTCCTCTCTTTTTTTCGCGGTTTCCGCCAATGGGCGGAGTTCCTCCCTGCTAGCAGGGTTGTCAACCTAGCAACCCTTCTCCCACCCCTTAAGGTCTGACCTTGCGCATCTCATCTCCCTCCGTAGTGCGGGAGGGCGAGAAGAAAAAGGAGGAACGCGACTCGACCCGACCCGAACCAACCAACCCCGCGGTTACCTCGAGATTTAAATCGTTCCACGCGAAATCGACTTACGAGTAATTCCTACGGCGAAATTTCCACCGAATATTTTCTAGTCGCACGCTGGGGATACGCCGTTCCATTCGCGATAAACACGCGATCCACGTTTCCGATAAACTTCGAACTTTCATCCTGAAAATCTATCGCGGCTAAGATTAATAAGGAAAGAAAAGTTGACCGAGTTGTGTTGTATAGTTATAAGAAGTAAAAAAAAAAAAAAAAAACAATGATCGAGATAGCTCCCTTCGAAGAATATGCATCCTTCTAACGGTGGTTGACCTTCCATTTGTTAAATCAGATATCACGAGAACCGATTTCACGGACGTGGCGCGTGAAAAAGAAGAGGAGGACGCAATGATTTCCCTCGAATCGTCCAAACCAGATTAGGAGTACGTGAGACGAAAATCTGAACGATCGAAAACGGGGGTTGATTAATCCGATTCTTTTCCATCGGTGTGGCATGCGACGCGTGCCACGCTTTCCTCGAAAATCTTTTTTCTTTTTTTTCTTTTATCCTAGATCGATATCCGGATACTTTTAATTCTCCCTTTAATCGCATAATATAATGCTTCATTTATTCAAGGATTGAAAAATTGTCATTCCGAATTTATAGGCGTCATTCCAGTTGAAATAAAAACTTCATAACTATCACGTGAACGTAAGTCGTTGGATAGGTACAATTATAATGGGAACAGTGGCAAGAGGGTAATTAATCGGTTCAACAGTTAACATAAAACGTTACGTAAAGTCACGGTGAATTAGTAATCAATACGATTGCGGCGCTACGCAAATCCACCGTAGTCGAACAAGTGATCCGATACCTTTAGTGTCAATATTTTTCTTCCAGCCACCCTTCGGAATATGTTAACGCACGTTCTTAAACTCTTCCGCAGTTTTGTTTTCGCATTGTCCCTCCGCGAAGAATAAGAAGAACAAAGAAAAATGTGGCCGCATAATGAAGTAGCAGAGGGGCAAAAAGGAGAGTTTTTTGAGAAAGAATTTCAAAAAAGAATTGAATTAATTAAACGGCGAAGAAAGAAGAAACGATATGGGACAGTTATCGACAATTTTTTATTTTCATTCGATAACGCTGCGCCGATACTAGACTTAATAAAATATTGTTATTTTATCGTCTCCTCGTTAATATGTTAACGCACGATGGATATTACTTTTCCGTCGCTACGATTCGATATCCGTATCGGCCGCTTAAAATCGATCATACTTCCATGATTCGTAGCCGATATTTCTCACAGAAATATATCGTTACTTTTTTTTTTCTCTTGCTAGCATACTTTGATTCCTCGAGTTCGTCATCGTTCATTAATTTTTCCGAGTAACAGTTCGTTTTTTTTTTCCTTTTTTTTTCTTTTCAACCTCTATCATTTTTTTTTTCACGGTTAAAAGAAGAAGGAAAAATCCGTCGTACAAACGGCTACGTATAATTCCGCTTACATTTGGATCGAGAAAGATGACGATTTTCTCGAATCCGGTCGTTCGTTACGCACAATGACGCGTATTTCGACGAGTGTTCAACCCTGTCTGAGGCAAATTTATCCTCGTTAGATTCGAACCGCGGGACAATCCATCACTACGGATAAAAAACGCGCATTCCAATGACATCCAAATTACGGTACGATCAATCAAGATAAGCGAACGAACGGCATTTCTTTCTACGAAAAAAGAAAGGAGGAAAAATATTATTAAGAGAGGAACCGTATTTCTCGATTCGAAGGAAATTCCGAAAAGAAAATCCTCCGATCTTGCGCGTTTATATGCGTGAAGCCAAACTGGCGCCGGCGCTTATGACATGTTAAGAAACCAATCTTACTCTCTTATCGTTTATAATCGAAATATTTCTTGGCAAAAGAACGCGAAACGTTGATTATTGACTCTTAAAAAACAAAATTTCTATTCTCGAAAAAGAAAAAAATAAAACGCAATCGGATTTACGAGGGGATCGACGAAGAATCCATCAATTACCAGTAAAACTTAAATTTGTTCGCTTCGTTATGTACTTGGAAATAAATTAATCCGATAAAACTATCTCTTAACAGCCACGTTAAGAGAAATCTTAACCTCTTTCGCACGAATCTTGATCCGATATCAAGTCAACTTCACTCGTGTTCAACTCGAAACTCGTCTCGCGAAAATATGAAAAAAATCATTTTCCCCCAAAAGGAATTTGAATTTTTCGCAGAAATTTCCTCGAAAATTGGCGTGGAAAGGAAGGAATTATCCAAAAAAAAATATAATGAAAAATAGGGAAAAGCGAAATACGATATGTGCTTACCTATGTTACAGGCTTGGGTGACGGGCAGGGGTGCGCAGCAGGGCCCGCTGAGGGTCGCGACCCTTATCCGGGGGGTACCAACCCCCCCGGGGGCCCCCTCCCCCGCCCCCGGCGCCCCCGTAGCCCTCCACCTCCCCAGCCGCGACTGCGGCCACCCCTGTCCCCACTCCCTTGCCGGGCCCGGGACCACCACCAGGCCCACCTTCCACGGGCCCGTATCGGCCGAACGGTCCCGAGGGCCCCAGTGCACCCACTTTTACTGCGGTGTTATCCCAACGGCCGTTAAATCGCACTTCTCACACTTCCCCCCTTGGCTGCCAGTTTTTTTCGTCAGCACACACTCGATATTTTGACAATTCGCTCCTCTTTTTCTCCTATATTCTATTTGCCTCCAGTTATCTCGGCAAATTCGCGTTACTCTCGTTCCTATGAACCACGTTTTAGTTATCACTGTTTGTTACGAACGATTTTTTCATGTAATCTTTTCGCAGTCAGTACGGTCTTTTCCTTCGATTTTCTCAATGTTTTTCTTGATCAGATTCTATGATAGAATCACTACTGGTCATTTGAATTCCTAATTTTCGATACCGTTTTATCACCGTTGTCTGTATCTCAGCTGACCAGCCGGTACCGCCGGCACATCGTAAAACTTCGTCGCGTTAAAGTCGTTTTCCTTTGGATCTACACACTCCGCGATGGATCATGGCGCCGATGAGACCGGTATCGCGATAGATCTTTCAGACGCGACGTGCGCGTCCGCGCGACGGACCACATTAAGAGATCTCTGCTTCTTTTACTTCTCCGCCAAAAAACCTCGTTACTATCTATTTTTCGCCGTACCAACAACTTTAATATACCCAAATTTCTATAAACAAATTATAGGAAATCCGCACTCTTTTTCTTTCTTTTCTTTTTTTTTTTTTATTTATCTTTCACGAATCGAAGTAAATTGCAACGGAAAAATATAACTTGAAATGATGGAGCGATTCAAGGAGAACGCGAACGAATAGAAGAAATAAAACCGGTTAAAAACGGTGTGCTTTACCGAACAACACGAAACATGAAACACAACGATCCCGAGCACGCTCGCCTCGAGTTCGCCAGCCAACTGGCTGCACCTGTGACAACCGCGAGGGCCCCCCTCTACTTCGACCAGACGTCGCGCGCCTCGCTAGAACGGGCTACGCCCATTGGACACGACCACGGCGCGGGACCTTCCGTGCTCCGTTTCGATTGGCTGGCTAGGCCCCGCTCGGGCGTAGCCAACCCCGTGCGCCGGCAGACATGGCCGTGGAATGGCTGCGGATCTCTAGCGGCGGACGGGACGCTTCTGTCGTTGCTACTGCTTCTGCTGCTTCTGCCGCCGTGTTGTTGCTCGAAATAGCCTGCCGCCTGATTCTCCTCGTCTCTGACGCGCTATCGATCCCCCTTCGGTGTATACCGAAGAGAAGAGTGCCTCGCGAAATGCCACAGGTTTCAGAGAATCTTTACCACTCGCGCCCGCGAAATATTCCTCTTTTCTCCCCTCCGTCCTTCGCTTCTCACTTCTCTACCTTCTCCTTTTCCCTTTTATTTCCTTCTCTTGCTTCTTCCCATTTACTTGATCTCAGGCCATGGCATCTTTCTTCCTTCTTTTTTATTTGCCGCTTTCCTTTCCGCGAACGTACGTCAATCTTCTTTCTCGCTTCCTCCGTTATTCGCGCCGATAGTATACATATCTACCTGTGTACATGTATTTATGCGCCCTCTGTCCGATTCACGAGACATAACCTTATCGCGAGGCTCGTTTTCTGACGGAGGCGTGTACCGAGGCAACGCATTGCTTTCTATCGATTAAGGACCTCTTTTCGCTATTGTTCGATGTTTGGTTTTAAGAATCGATATCAATACATTTTATATATATATATATTTTTATATATATATCATGAAATATCCTCAATGTTGTTCTCGAGAGAAACATTAGGCGATTAATATTTTTTTAATACGATCAATTCTGATCTGATCGGGATTCGCGCGTGACTTTCATATTGTTTGACGAGTATTATTTGTTCATTACACAAAGAACGATTCAAAGGAATTATACATATATTTTATGGTGAATTTTTTTTTAAATATGCACAATAACAATAATAATTATACTTTTGTGTTAATTATTTTAAAAATTCCATTGAATTTTAACATACGAAAATGTCAAAAAAAAAAAAAAGAAACAATATAACGGTTACCCGCGTACCACCATAATTAGCCGTAAACAAGTGGCTTCTATAAATTACATTGGACTGGTTAAGCTTATTACAAGGGTCGACCATAGACTACTGAAAAGCTGCCAGGATTATTATAGAGTTTCGTGAAAAATCAACCGTTCTCTGAATATGACAATTCATTCATACAATATGGTATTTGAGTAAGTAGATATTTCATTGACCATTGTATTTTATTCTCTTTCTGTAAATAAACATTCTTTTAAAAATTCCTATAAAATCAAAATTCCCTTTTCTTATTCTTGCATTCTTATTTATCGAACGATTAAAAGTTAAAAAAATAAATACAAAGAAACGATTGATAAAATATGAAGTAAGAAAAGTAGTTTGAATCTGTTATATAAAATTATTCTCACTTGACAACTTTATCAATTTCAATACATGAAATTGTTAATGATGAGTACAACGATATTCGCGATAAAATGTTATTAGTTTTTCAAATTTTATTGTTATACACAATTATTAACTGTCGATTGTATATTATCATTGATATCAAAATGCTTCCGTTTCGATAATATTCTATATTATTATATTATAAATCTTACGAGACAGATACATGAAATTTCACAATCCCGAAAAGCGTTGTACTTTTTTGCATGTTTTATTTTCAGTTCGATTGCGAATAAGATGATAAGTCATATTGCATTAATGTAATCTGCAGTAAGTATATGAGGAATAATTAACAAAAAATTAATGTCCCTTCTCAAATTAAATTCTACTTAACCTCTAAATATTTCGATTGTAATATAATAATATAAAATTAAATGTCATTCAAATTTAAGATAATAATTAAAAGATAATAATTTTATTTTAATTTTTATATGTGATTTAGATAGATATATGATTAGTTGAAAAAAAAACTAAAAAAATAAATGTCATAATCAAAAAAGAATTCATTTTAGCTTTATATATATATATATATAAATATGCTATTCATACTTAAAATCATAGTTTGAACAAAATATCTACAAAATCACGATAATAGTTCTGCGAGCAAAGAAATACGATCAGTTTTTCTTCTTAGTTGACATGGTGATTGTACTTATGACGAAAAAAATATATGTCACAGGTATGACAGGCTATTCGTTCCTACGCAATGTCGAGCTATTGTTCTGTGGTTGGCTCGTCTGACCCGACAAGACGATAAATGGGAAAATGAACATGGCTATGAATTACGATCTTCCATGTAATTATTATTGATTTTCTAACGAGTCATTTCGGTTTATTTAGCTCTTATGATTAATTGAAGGAATCAACATTTTATATAAAAAATTACCAAATACTTACATTATAGATATTTTAAAAACTTTCAATGTTAATTCGTTTTCGTTCTTTTCAATTATTTTTTTTAATATATATTAAATTATGATTTATTCTTTATTATATATGACAATAATTTGATATAATTTGAAAATAAACAATATAATGTTTGTGTTATTTATTTAATTCAAAGTCTTAAAGAACGTCTGACTATATACCTGACAATTCTACTTCGCGCATTCTAATTTTGAACTACAATACCGACATCAGGATTTATATAATATGTATGGGAATAAATTATTAAAAATTTTGTTGTGCGAATATAATATTGAAAAAAATTTACATATTTACATTTATTTTTTCTTTTATTGTGAATATTATCTTTAATCAGCCTAATATATATAAAGGATGAAATTATAAAACAAAATAAAAATATTAATAACACATTTTATTTTATTTTTTTTTTTTATTAGCTATGTTTTTAATTTAAAATATATGTTTCAAAGCATTTTCTATATATATGTATCAAAATAAAAATATTCAACTTGTACAATAGTATAATAAAATAGATATAATTGTATTATAATTTTTATACATATATAAGCGCAACATTTTTTTATTTCATTTGAAAATTGAATCAATTCTCAGAGATATTTGATCTAATTATACTAATTATGATATAATTTTTGATTGGTAGTCATTTTGGATAATAACGTATCCATTTTCTGTATGTAATATTCATTATTTCTTCTACTAAGTTATCTATAGGATGTATTATAACAGGTATAGTTGCTAAACCAATTAAAGTTGGAATCCACCTACTTTTTAAATATGTATTATTGTTTTTCTTTTGTATAAATTGTACAGCGGCACAAACTCTGTTTATTGTGTAACCAGGAATAATTACAGATGCCAATGACTGCCATAACAAAGTATCTGTCATAGAAAGTAAAACATTCTTTGATTTTGTAGTAACAGTGTTCTGAAATATAAAATGATTTATATAGTAATATTTTTATTAATTATATATTCAATATATATAAATATTTTCTTTCTCTCTACATTCAACTTACTGAATAAGTGTTAAAGCCACTATTAATTGTATCTGCAAGTACATATCCACTGGCTATAGTATAACTAAACCATACTATTGAATGTGGAATTATAGGTCTAAAAGCTTCTCCAATTTCATTTGCATATCCTAAAAAAAATAATTAATAATTAATAATATATAATATACAAAATATTACATTTTTTTTTAAATAATCTATTATTCAATTTATTTAAGAGAAACAAAAATTATTTACGAATAATAAAATAGATAACTTGGTTTGTTTACCTAAATATCTAATAGGAGTATCACGATATATATTTATTTCTTTTATTTCATTCATGATATAAATTTTATTTATAAACTTTCATAGACTTATTAAAGATAACCTACATCAATTATTTATATCATGTTATTTAATAATACACGATGATATAGAATTGATTCATATAAAAAAAAAAACAAAAATTTTGTAACTTAATGCTCTGATAAATTAAAATAAATTAAAATAAATAATAATTATAGCGCAATAATTTAACAATAAAAGAGAGAAAAGATTCAAAGAATTTATGATCAAAATTTTGAACATAGGGAATTTTATTTTTTGGCAATTCTGTTAAAATATCTGCAATTAACTTATGGTATTTAAAATAAAATGAAAAGATAAACTTTCATAAATCAATCATATATATTTTTTTATTCATTTATAATAAAAAACAAATTTATAAATAATAAAAAGATTGTTTAAAAATTTATTTTAAAAAAAGAACTTTTTTAAACATTATATGAATCTTTATAAAACGTAATCAATTATGTCCTTATTGTTAAATAAAATTTAAATTTTATGAAAGAAAATGATAAGTATTGCATTAAATAATAAAAATTATACAAAAATGAATTAAAATTGAAGCATATTTATTATGCGATTAAAAAAAAAAATTCAAACGTTTGATATGAGGAATATCAAAAATTACATACAGGAAAGAAAGAATTTTGAAAAATTAAAGATTTTAATAGTAAAATAAATAACGAGCATTATAATAGTGTATTTATAAAAAAGCATGGCGTCCAATCCTATTATTTCGTTTGTGTGTAACATAACCTATCAAAGTCCTTTAAATAAAAAAAATGTTATCTCAAATTTTAATGGAATAGCGTGTTCTTTCAAAAATATGACAGGACCATAATATTTGTAAGTGGAAATATTTTGTACATCATTCAAAATGATAGATTTCAATTTAATTAGGGAATATTTAAGTATGCAAGTTAATGAAATAATTTGTTGGTGGTGGTTTTACATCAATGAAATTTCATGGCAGTTATTAATAGCTATTACCGCATATCTTTGCGTTTGTATTTTTCTCTATTCAATTCTGAAGAAAGTTAGCCACACAGCGTGGCAGCTTCCAGGTCCACCTGCCAGAATATTGTTAGTCACAGCACATCCTGATGATGAAGTCATGTTTTTTGGTCCATTGGTATACTGGGTTACAAAATCCAAGGCTAGTGAAATTTATCTCCTCTGTCTTAGTAATGGTATGTTTATTGATTTCTTATAAAAATATTTCAAGAATTAGAATACATGTTGTTTTAAGGTGGTGATAAGAGAAGAAAAGAAGAATTATGGGAATGTACAAAAATATTAGGAATTCCAGAAGATAATGTAACTATAATAATGTAAGAAATTACTTAATTTATTTAATGTACGAAATAATTTATTATTAATTATTTGAATGTACAGTTAAATATTATGCTTTTAATCTTCTATCTTAGTTCAATAAATACATGTGTAGGAGTACAGAGTTACCTGATGATCAAAATGTACAATGGCCAACAGAGATAGTGGCAGAATTTATTTTACAACATGTAGAAAGTTATAAAATCAATGCAGTTGTAACATTTGATAAGCATGGCATAAGCAAACATAAAAATCATATTTCTTTATACTTTGCCATAGCTGCATTATGCATAGAAAAAAAAGTACCATATTGTAAGTGTTATTGTTTATTGAAGTATTTAATATTAATAAAGTTTTAAATAATTTAAATTTGTTTCAGATTGTAAACTATATGTTTTAGAATCTGTAAATATATTTAGAAAATATGTGCAACTTTTAGATTTACCAATTAGCTTATTAACTGCTTCATATTGGTATTTAATAACATATAATCAAAAAAAAATTATAAAAGTAAGTATACAATAAATATAAGTTTTAATATAATTAATTAAAATAATTAATTATGTGTTAATAAAAATATATTTATTCTGTTCATAGTTGTTAACATAATTTAATTATTTTTACAGAAAGGTATGATTGCACACAAGTCTCAATATGTTTGGTTTCGAAAGTTATACATGATATTTTCGCGATATACATTCATCAATACCTTTCAAGAAATGAGTGCTCTTGATTTGGAATTAGATCTCCAATTTGATGATGAATAATATAATTAATATATATTACTGTATAATATTGTAATTAATTGTACATACTAAAAAATAATATTTGTCTTAATCTGTAATAAAACGATTACAGCATTCTCAAAATAACTTTTAAACTATTTTTAAAAATTAAATATATATGTTGTATTAGAAAATGTTTTTTATTAATTTTAAATGTATATAAATAATTAGAAATAAAAATGTATCTGAAAAGTTATAATACATTCATTTTTTATTATATGTAATTCGTGCATCAACTTTTATAATAGTATTATTTTAATTTGTTTAAAATAAAATGTATTTTTTAATTCGATATGTACTTTTTATATATAATTTGATTTGTTTTTAATTTATTGCACACTCAACAGAACTTTGAACTATTTTCGAACAATTTGAGCAAATACGAAATTATTGTAAATTAAATTTATTTTGAGAATATTCATTTAAAGTTTGTCTCTTGGCAAATATAGGTAACAATTTTTTTATTGTTTAAGTCATATTAAATTTGGCACATTTAAAATTTATGCATAAAGTATAATTTGAACTATTTTTCTATTGTCTTTTTAACATTTTACAATAAATTTGATTTTTTTCAGATTATATAGAAAAAATAGATTTCTGATATAAGATAATTATTTATGCTGAAAGAAATCATAATTATTTATTACAAATTTAATCAGAAATAAGAACAAAAATAATAATTCTTAATCTTTTTCTTTCAGCATAATTAGAATTTTTTAGTAGTAATATATAATATTAATAATTTCCTTATCTTATTCTAAAGAGGTACAAAAAAACTGAATATTTTACTTAAAAATATGAGAATAATATTAAACAAAATACAATAATTTGTGTCTTAATAAACAGTCTTATGAATATTAAAAAAATTTGTAATATAAAGTAATATATTACTGCAAACAGAAATTTGTTAATATGAATCAAGTATACAATATATATTTTTATATAGCAAATAGTTTATAAAGTATATTCTTTGTGCGTTTATATTTTGCACATTTATAATACTATACAGTTTTGTTTGAAATATAATAAAATATATTTAATTAACAAATATGTATGAGGAATGAAATGTTATATGTTATATATTAATGTATAGAAATTCAACAAATAATCAAAAGAACGTTACAAAAGATGAAATATTTTGTTTTAGTCATTTAATAAATTCATGACTTTAAGAAAAATAAATGCTTTTAAGACAATGGACGGCATAAAGTGTTCCCGCAAGATCTTCGATCAGTAAACTGCTATCACATTAATCAATTAGTAGAATACTGAGTATAGGTACGTAGAGAAGAATAACATTAAATAGTTATCAATTTTTATAGATATTTTCAATGTTTTATAAAGGATTCATCGCGAAGATCTCGCGGGCCGTATCCTAGAATCTATCCTTAGCACGATGCGAACTCAAAGTTCCCATACCAGGTTGAGGAGAGTCTGGATCTCCTGGGTCTTGTAGATACTGAAGCTCTTGCAATTCTTGAAACTTTTCATGATCCCTAATGTGTGCATAATTAGCAGATAAACACATCAAATAATGTATGAGACTTAATACAACCAACATAGCAGCTATTGTTGCCAAAATAAACATAACCACTGCTTTTTCAACAAAATCTTTACAAAATAATTTCACTTCTTGTGGTCCACATATTTTCATATCCTCTATTCTTGTATTATTTGGGAATATAAAACCTATAAAAAAAATTTAAGTATAATTATATGAAATATAATTTTTTTAAAGTTTCTGATTAATTAAAAAATATCTAAAAAATTAATCATACAAATCAAATTTAAATAAACAATAACTTACTAAATTGGGTAAAATCAATACATTGATCAAGAGATTGGACACGAGGATTGCTGCACAAACCCCAGAATATAGTAAAAATCCAAGCAATTATAACCAAGAATGCAAATATTAGAAGCCAACCTAGTTGTAATATATAAGTAATTGTCATGAACTAAAAAATATAAAACATATCATTCTTGTATATTATATTCTTCATATTATGATATAACTAATAACAGAAATTACATACAACAGCACAAGAAATACGTCCACCAACTCTAGACCTCCAGGCTCTATATACTTTATGTCTTGTAGCTCCAGTTGCAAGACAACCAACGCATAATATCATAAAGCCTAAAGCTGCCATACTAGCACCAATTGTTGCAAAAATCAATTGAACAGCTTCTAACCATCCAAGTCGTAAATGAAATACCTTGTAATATATAATTATTAATAACTATATTAAGAAAATAATTGACATATCGTAAAAAAAAAATTATATTGATGATTTACCTGATCCATCATTAAAGAACCCAATGTGACACCTCTATACATTGTGCCACAAAATATACCTACTCCTAAACAACACATTATTGTTGCAATAAGAGTTGCATATGGCACTCTAGCCATACAATCGTTACATATACTTCCTACAAATAGTAAAAAAAATTTATTAATGATTTAATATATGTAAATAAATACTCTAATATTAATTTATAATGTAGAGAATTACCGATTGTTTTAATCTTTATTGTTATATATAAATTTATATTAAAAAACTTACTACATGATCGATCATCAAAATAAAGCCCATGAAGACTTTTTTCGGAAAATCTATCAATACTAATATTACTTTCAAATCGTCTACGTAATGGTAATATATCACCTATGTCTTGCTGATTTCTCATGTTTAATTATGAATTTAATATTCAACATTCATTTTAAGTCTGCCGTAAAACTATGATTGAAACGATGAATGAATAATCTTATATATGATAGATAAGATTACGATGCGTATCTTATGTGATTGTTGGTGTATTGAATCATTACTAAGAAAAATTACTATTCGAAAAAGAAGTCTACTTTTTCATTTTATAACATATGTGATAAAAATATTTTCCAAATTTTTTTGCTTACCCATTTTTTTAGTTTTAATGTTGTTCAAGGTTAGGTTTGTTTTAATAGATACCGTCTCTTGTTGATTTTGAAACTACAAGTCTAGAATTCTCTCAATTAATGTCGTAATTGAATGTCATTCTATTGTATTAGTGAATAACATCCCACATACTTCTCATAATTACACATCCGCACATTATACCACTGGTTCATAAAGACTATGATATTAACAGACTGGTATTAAATCGTTCATTAAAATTAATCAAAATATCTTTTGTTTTATGTATTTAAATAATTTAAGTTTAAGAATGAGTCAATATACTTTAAAATATTTCATACAACAATCATTAATTTTTATATTAGATATTTTTTTTCTCAGAACATCGCTTGTTTTATAGTAATTCTTTAAAAGAAACTAATATGGCGACAAAAGGTAAAAGCGAATGGAATCTTTGTTTTCTTTAAAGATTTATAGGATATATAATAAATTATAACACAGTATTTTTTTTTAATTAAAAAAATTTTATGCTGAATAAAAAATGCTATAATAAATTAAATAACTAGCATTACTATGTTAAATAGTTTTATTTTAAATTTGATGGAAAATCACATTTGAATTTAAATTTCATACACGCACGCGCGCGCGCACACATATAGTATAAAGATATTAAATTGTTTATATTATAGAATTTTATAAATTAAAATTAAAATATAAAAATGTAAAAAAAAAAAAATAAAATATATCTATTTTATTATATTCAAAAAATCCTTTATATAATTCATAATTAAAAAATATGTAGTAGATAGTTGTATAAAAATTATTTTACTATTATTATAATTATACTATTTTAAGTGGTCCAAAAAATATTTCAATTCATTTCCTTCAAAACTAATGTAGATATCAATTTAGTTTTCATATATATTTAAAAAAAATAATAAAATAAAGAAAAAAAATTAAAATTGGTATTTGCATCGATTTTAAAGAAAACTGTTTGGAATACATTTGAACCATCTTATATATTTTATACAAAATATTTTATGTCTAAATATATAGTTAAAAAATTAAAACTACCGGATATTCTTATGTTTCGGTTGAACAAGATATTCAATAACTGTTGGCAGATGACGTAATTTTTCTTTAATGATATGTGGTACTTCCACATTTTGCTGATAATGGAGATTATATCTTCTAGCAGTACCATTACTACTTTCATAAATTATATCACCACCATTGCTAACCTAAGAATAATAATTTTTATTAAATCATATTCTTAATAATATTTTAATTTTTAATAACGTAATATAAAACATTCTTATTTACAATTAAAGAAGAACCATCTTTGTAATTAATATGGATATCTCCAGAAGATAATTGTGTTGCAGTACATATATCCGGAATGGCTATTTTACAAATACTATTATTGCTAGTATTTCGTACAGAATTCATTTTTCGTGACCGTGATGCTACTGTTGAAATAACGGAACTAGCGTCAAAGGATGGCATCTGAAATATTAATAATTTGAAAAATATCAATATACATATAACACATATTATATGAAAATTGTATATTAATTTAATTATTTACTACGGGTGTATTATTTGTTGCATGCGAAATATTTTCTTTCCCTTGTAAACAAGGAGAATCACTTAAGGCCGAACTAGGCCTGCGTCCAATAATGATAGGAAAACACGAATGATCTGTAGCTGCTTCCAAAGATGTAAAAGTAGATTCTATCAACAAACAACGTTTATAACATTCTGAATAATGTTCATAATAATCGTCTAAATACGGTGGAAATTCACCCTCGATATAAATCGGACCATCACTTCTTTCTGTTATTTTTACAATACCATCAATACGTTCAACCTGTAATAATACAAATTTTAATTTCTTTAATGTTTATAATTCATTTTATTTATTATACCTTCACTCCATTATAAAAGTGAACTTCACAATTTGGATGTGGTCCATTTTCCATAAATAAACATTTTGATCGTTGAGTATATAGTGTTATTTTTGGAGTTTTTGCTCTTACAAGTTTTATAAAACGAGAAGCGTATATGTATTTTTTATGATGACGGGAAGGTAAATTTTCATATGAATAAATACTGTCTGCTCCACGAGCTGGTAATGGGAGTGGTTGATTACCAACATCTGTTGAAGATATTGGTTTATAGAGAATAACTCTTAAACCATCACTAGATATTCGACATACTTCACTTATTTTTTCCTAAAAAAAAGACGATTAAATATAAAAAATAATTAAAATTTAAAATTAAAATTTTTTTATACATACTATGCCATTTCTACGTTTGATGAATTCAATGCAAACTTCTCCATTATCTAAAATAGTAAGAATTGTATATTTCGTCTTATGTCTAGTAGGTTGTAATCTTTCTGTAGACAAAGGTGAAATTTGTAATTTTCCTCCATTTTCGGTACTTTCAAAACAATTTTCAGTCTTTTCTTTTTTTCTATACTTATCATTTTTATGTTTATCAATCTCCTGATTTGTATCATAATTGCTATATTGTTCATATTGAGAAAAGATTTTGCTTTGTGGCGGTAATGGTATTCCGGCTAATACGGAATTTTGTTTAACACGATAATCGATACTATTTGTTTTATGTGAATACATTCTTATAATAGGTTCAGATAAAGGTTCGCTTTTTGTGCTCATCATAGGTCCAAAACCATTAGACATAAGACCATTAGGTATCGTTGATGTTCTTTCTTCCGATCTAGAACGTATTCTTGGTCTCTCATATGAAGATAATGTTCTTCCAACTCCTGAATCAACAGTACCATCTCCTAGCAATCCTTTATTCATATTCTTTTCCTATAGATATATATATTTACAATAAACAAATAAATAGCTTTTTTAATCATTTTAATTATTACTTACACTGTGTAATTTATTTTTTTTTAAATTAGCTATAAATGGGTGTTTCGAAATATCACGTAAACGAATTCTATCTTTTGGATTTTTTTTAAAAGTTTATCTATTAGATCTTTAGCATTATCTGATAAGTGAGCTGGCATAACATAATCAGCCATAACTACACGTGTTAAAGTACTTTTAACAGCATCTGTATCAAAAGGAGGTTTGCCAACTAATAGAGTATATAGCATGCATCCTAAACTCCATACATCTGCTTCCAAACCATGAGATGATCTTGTTGCTATCTATAATGACATAAAAAATAAATTCAATAAAATAATATAAATATATTTTTCTAAATGTTTATATATTTTCAAATCATTTAACAAACCTCAGGTGATATATAATTAGGAGTACCACACATAGTTAAATGTTTTTCATCAGGCCTTGTTAATTGAGTAGCTAATCCAAAATCTGCTATTTTCTATCAATAAAAAAATTACTTTTAATATATTTAATTCAATTATAAAATTAAGAATTTCTTACAATTTTACTTACTACTTGCATATCTCTGGTTAAAAGCAAATTAGATAGAGACATATCTCTATGAAGTATGCGATGTGAATGTAAATATAATAATCCTTGCACTACTTGTCTAATTATATGACCAGCTAAAAATAAAAAGTATTGAATAATAATAAAAACAAAAAATTTATTTGTTAATACCTTGTTCTTCAGGCAATGCACGAGATCCTTGTAGCTTAAGAAAACGTTGAAGTTCTCCATTGTGACATAATTCTAATACCAAATAAACATAGTTAGCATCTTCAAAAAAAGTATACAATTCAAGTACAGCTGGATTTTTCAATTTTGAATGAATTGCTACTTCTTGATGTACTCTATCCACCATCCCAGCAGCTTGCATTAATTTTTTGTCGATCTAAAATTATTTATAATCATTTATAGAATAAATATACATTCATATATGTACATTTAACCTAAAAAGTCATCTAAATTACCATTTTTATTGCAACTTCTATACCATTGCGAAGACATTTTGCTCGATATACACTTGCAAAACCTCCTTTTCCAAGTAAGTTTAATACTTCGTAATCCTAAAATTAAAAATTATTAATTAAATGTTATATAACAAGTTATTTCGGATGACAAATTTGAAAAGCTAACCTCTATCTGTTCACCGAAACCTCCCGATAGATGTGGCATTACCAGTGTCCGAGTGATAAAACCGTATAGATGTCTTAATCACCACGGTTAGTAAATTGCACTTTTTTAATACATTTAATCTTTTTGACATTAAATATATTTACAAAATTTGTAAATAGAAATGACATGGCGTGTTTGCCACATATAAATTTATTATATTTTTTCAGATTCAATAGATGGCGTCTTAAAAACGTATCTCAATTGTCAATTTGAAATGTTTCCAAGATGATCAATTTTATTTGTAACGACATATGTAAGACTACTATTAGAATAGATAAAAGATTTGGTGATATATTTTGAATTATTAGCGATATCATAATATGTATAGAAAAATATAATAAACATTTTTTTTATTAAAAAGAGCATAAATTTTTTGGATCAAAAATCATAAATATTTAAATTTCTTACATTATAACATTTATTTTAACTATTATCCTTTATTCGATCTTTACTATTTTTATCTAATTTAATTTTATATTCATATTTCAAATTTTGTTTAAATTTCACTACTCACTAAATAATACTTCATATCAAAACTCGCATATATATTTTGTAATAATATATTAGAAATACATTAAAACCGAGAATATGATATATATGTAAAATTTTTATATTAAAAATTAAGATAGTTTGAAAGAGAAATGATAAAAATTGATTATCCATTCATCTATTATCATCTATATGTTATTCATCTATTTTCTATTTTCTGTATTTCATCTATTATATGTTAAAAACAAAAAAAGCTAATATTAAACATTATTATTTTCAGAATGCCACAAATGAAATATATATAAAAATAGAAAATAATAGAAGAAAAATAACGATAAAAAAAATAAGAATAGACTACCAACACCATCTTCTGAATATCAAAATCATCTCAAAAGATAATTCAATTTTCAATTCTTACTCTATTTTATTTTATCTTTGAAGAAATATCTTAGACATTCAAGAGATAGTAATAATTAATTTTTATTTTATCTCTATTTTTCTTCAATTTTGCTCTCTTATGTTTATGTTTGTTTCATTTACAGTACTCTATAGATAATTCCATAATTCCATAATTTTACTCTATATCTATTCTTTTCAATAAATTCTCTTTGCTTTGTGATCATAAACCGAGAAAAATTAATTGAATATATTTTTTTTCTTTTAACATTTTCTTTTAAAATTACTTAAATATAAAAAAATATACATACATCATATTATTCTATTCTATGCTAATTACGTATGCTTGTTATATAATTTAATTATAGATAAATAATAAGCACTCACATTTTTTTGTGAATTTAAACGTCTTTTCGTTTTTCACAACTGTAATTCATTCTAAATAACTGTAATTACAAATTAATTACAAATAATATACAGCACAATTTTTACATTATGCATTTAGATTGTATTAATATTTTAGCGAAATTGGACGAAATATTGAAATGCTGCACAATCTTTTGACATTAGAGCACATGATTATTCTCTACAATATAAATACTTTGATGTTTCTTATAATAAATATCTTACTTTTATATTTTTTATTATTAACTTCACTTTCACTGTATAAGGAAATAATTCATACTATAATTGTACATTTATTACATCTTTCATTTATGAATTATTTGTGGCACAAAATTCGTTTACATCACGTTTTAATTGATTGACCTATGATATAAATTACCATACATGAAAAGTATGGAGTATTTTTTTCTCATAAGGTCAGTCTTTAAAAACAACACAACTACAGTTATTAAGTTCAGCATCATTCAGTACTTTTACTAAAAAAAAATGACTGACAATACATTAAAGTATGGAATTATTTTGAGTATTCATAGGCATAGAATTCTGAGATCGTTGAGCCGGAGGTTGATAAATAGGTTGAGTGCTTCTTTGTTGATTACGTTTTTTATTATAAACAGCTTTATTTCCAGGAACAACACCACTTCCGCCTCTTCGAAATTCCATACCTACTATGGAAAGTATTATAAATAACTTGCATTTTTATATATTTTATATAAATAATCATTACAAAAAGATTATAAATTTACCACTTATATGATTTTGAGTTTGGTCATATCGCATTTGTCTATTATTGAATCGTTGATCTGTTTGTTTTTGATCCATAACATAATCTTGAACAACTTGATTCTACAATAAAATACAATTTTTAAATACCATTTTTAAAATACTAAGAGCATATATATATTTTACATACATCATCTGTTATAGGTAAGCAATCTACTTGAAGCACTTCTTCATAATTTTCAAATCCTTTAAATTGAACAACACATGTCCTGTCTGATACTCCAGTTACTTTCGCATTATAATACTATATTTTAGAAATATTAATCAAGATTAAATGTAAATATTATAGTACAAAGTTATTATAAACAATTATATTATCTTACTCTATTATCTTCCCAATATTTAGCCAAACATTTGTCACCTACGCGCCAAACCCAAGTGCCAGTAAGAGAAACATGTGTATTTTGATTACTATTATACTGACTCCTTTGACTGTTAGATCCTAAAGTTCCTTTGCTAGAATTCTCATTTGGTTGAAATCTGTTCAGTTGGTTTTTGTAATTTTTATCAGTTGTGTTTGCAGGATAAGTTTTATGTGTTCCATCTTCTTGTGCTCGATTATGCCTACCGTAAGAAGCATCATAAATTTGTCTATTCCTGACATCAGTCTCATAGTGATTATAATTCCTGCCACTGAAATGTTTTCCTTGTTGATCTTGTGGAGCTTTATAATAATTACTATTATTCATAATGTTCGCTCCTTCTGTACGTATTTGTACATTAGAATTTCGAGAATCATTTAATTGAGATTTTTGATAAGTTTTATGTAAAGAATCTTGTTGTGTGTAATTATGATTATCTTGATTTCTTTGAAATCTCGGTGGTCTATTTTGCTGAGAATGATTTCCTCCATTATATTGTGAATATTGAGTCGTAGGATTATTAAAATTTGACTTTTTACTATTCTTATTTTCTTCTAGTCTTGGAGGAATTTGATATCCACGATTTCCTTTTTGAGATCTACAAAAAAAACTTTTATTTCACTACATATTGTAATTATAATTATAATTGTAGAAAATTTTAATAAGAATAAAATTTACCTTCCACTTTTTCCACTTTGTGATTCGTTATTCTTAAGCTCAATTTTTTCATAATTATTTTCTGTATTTTGAGTATAATTATTTTGAGATAGATTGCTTGATTCCGTAGATTCAGATTGTAAAGGTAATTTATCTTCAAGAAAATCAAAAAGAGAAATTTTTCCGCTACTTGGTTTACCTTCTTCGGTTTTTTTATCGAATCGTTTATTTCGAGGTTCACGCGATTCTCGTGATTCTTTAAATGTACTGAAATAATATAAATAAAATCAATAATCAAAAAGTTATATTAATTTAATATATTGAAAAAAAATAGATATACTTATGCTTATTATCTGCTTTCTGTAAACTTTTTAAAGCTTTATCAACATTATTTCGATTAACTTTTAAGGCATATTCTGCTTGATCTATAGAAAAGCCTTGATCTACAATTTTTTGTACACTATGATCTAAGAGCTGTAAAATAATTATATTAAAATAAAATTCTTTTAAATTTAAATAATATAATAGATAATTAATAGAATATACTTGTTTATTTCCTCCTCCAAAAACTTTTTTACTGCCTTGTTTAGAAGCTTCTGCTATAGCATCTTTACGTTGAGCTTCAAATTCAGCATTTTCTTTACTAGATTTTTCTTTTTCTGCTAAAGCTTTAAAATTTTTGTCCTGTTCAGAGACTTTTATAATTTTTTTCCCAAATGGTATCCATGGTGGTGGACCACCTTCTTCTGCAGATCTCATTCTTATATGTAATGCTAATTTCTATTACAAAGAATAGGTTTCTTAGTTCTATATATACTAGAATGAAATAATATACATACTTTGTTCAATTCCCATTTTTCTACAAGATTTGTTACTTTTCCTCCAAGTATTTGTGTTATATTTGAAGGTTTTAATAAAATGATTCCATGAGAAATTGGTAGGTTTCCGCAACCAATTAATATTTTTGTACCAGGAGGTGTATTTAAACTATAAACATATAAATTCATAATATAAATTCCTTGTAAAAACTGAAATATGAAGATTAATTATTGTTTTAATGTAATTAATCAAATTTTGAGGTATACCTTAAAAATGAAATATGTTCAATTTCTATAGCTTGAAAATTATTTTTACCATCTGTTAAAAAGAATTTTAATAAACGTGGAGCTGCACGAGACTCTTCATTATTTTTAGGAGCAGCTACATTACGTATTTTTTGTATTTGTAATACAATATTACCCTGAATTATATCTCCTTGACCACTACCAATCTCTCTTAAATCAAGCTATATAAATAAAAAAAAATTAAAATATATATAAGTATTTTTTTTTAAGAAAAAATTATAAAATGCTAATCTTACATCCAATAATCGTTTAATAATTTTTTGTATATCAATAACACTTCCAGAATCACTTGCAGTATTGTAACCATGATCTGTAATATACCTAATTCAAACATTTATAAATGTTTATATGTTCAAGTTTAAAATAATATTTGTTTTTAAAAGACATTTATAAATGTGACGAAATATATTGGTTTGTATACGCACCACCCCTTATCTTTCAATTTTTCCATAATATGCAACGTCATTTCGTTCTCGAACGAGATTTTTCAGAATGACCGTTTTGATTTGGCAACGTTTTTAGGTAAAATTTTATACACGTTACATGCGTACATTCAAGTTGTACATAAACATGTGTCAGCTGACGTATAAACCAATAGAAAACAGATCATAAAAGTATCAACAATTTCAAAATCGAAATTAGCTGTTTTTATAGATATTTAAAATCGTTTATTATGCGCTACAATGTCACTTTGCTTGTCCAAATAACGAACAAAAGGAACCGCGCCTATTAAACCTTGAATTCTTTGCCACCATCTTGACGATTTGGTGCACTGTGATTTTAAGATCGATATATCGCTACTGTGTAGTAATAGCTAGCTATCGATATATCGTTCATTATTTGAATACAATAATATTACAACTATTATATTTTAAAAAAATAAATTATTTTGTAATATTTTATTTTATTAGATACAATATTTTATTAAATTCTTAAATTTTTTTAATATGTATTAAAAGATTGTGAATATTCGTTTA